TGTTTTCAGATGTAAACTGCCCTTAATCTATCACTGCTTTGTACTTCTCTGAGACACAGTTGTTCTAGTGACGTCTAGTTCAGTTCTAAGAGTCAGAAGAGATGAATGGAAACAAGATGGCTTTTGAGCCTTACTTGTGAGCAGTATTTCCTTTTCTGATAACCCCCAAAAACTGCATTAAGGAAAAGGATAGTGAAAGGGACTTGCTTAAGCAAGATAGCAATGGAAGGGGAAATTAAAAGAGAAAGATGATGTTTCTAGACTTCAGATGGTTTTCTGTTAAGGGTGAGAGCTCAGAACTGTCTGTTTTGTACCCAGTGCTTCAGGTAGAATTTCTAGGCTCCTGTGTGTCACATTCAAGAGAGAGCATTTTTTGGCTCCCGTCCACGAAGCATAGGTCTGTGGCAGTTTATAAAAAACTGAGCATGACTTACCAGCCAGTGAACTGCCTGAAAGAAAATGAAGAAAAAAGAGGTGAAATAAAGATGATTTGAAATAATGTGGGTTTTTTTTTGTAGTAGACGTTTAGAGACAGCTTTTTCCAACCCCCAGGCCCACAGAGAAGGCGCCCGCCCTGCAAAGGCCTCAGCAGAAACCAGCCTATGTTCGAACCCTTCCCTGGGCAGGGACCTCAGTACCTCCTATGGGTAAGAACTGAGCTACTACTTAATTATAGAAAGCACGTCCTTCCTTGGAACTGAACTCTGCCTTCTAGCAACTCCCAAATACGTGTCCTAATTCCATTCTCTGAAGCAACAAACACATGTCTGATGTCCTCATTCACAGGCAAGTCCTTTGCACATGGCAGCTGTCAGGGCTTCCCTAACTCCTGGACTTGCTCCACACTTCCCCTTAGGCCCTGGCTACAGACCCTCTGAGATGTTTTCTAGTTGGTTACAGCCTTTGTTAAAATGGGACACTCAGGATGACCACACGCTCCAGAGTTTTGAGAATAAGATTTAGATAAGGTGGGTTGCTAAGAAGAAAATGTTAGCAAACATCTTGATTACACCTCTGTTTATATTTCTTTTGGTAAAGTTGAGTGTTTACAGTTCATCATGATGCCCAGATTAAAGGGGTTTCCACCTGTAAGTGTTTTATCCGCAGTTTCACAAACCTTTCATTTTGGAAGCTGGTGGCAACAAGCCAGCAGGACATATGGGGTTAAGAGCCAATGCGTTCTATTTGCTCGTGGTCGGTCACTAACCATTTGTAACCAAGGCGAGCCCATTACAGAAAGGAACAGTTAGCTGAAGTGTAAGGGCCACGCATTTAAAAACCCTGATCCTTCTTCCTCGTGTGCTAAAATCAGTTAGCAGAGCTCAACCATTAGCAGCGGCTTTGTAAGGAAGGAGCTTGTTTACACGTCATTTTTGTCAGTGGGACTGCTGGTCTGCCTTAGTACTTACTAACGTGTATAACCTGTGAGTAGGAGCCAGCACTTGCACTTCAAAGGTCTGTGCAAATTTCGTGTCCTCCTCATTTCCTGCTAAGCCTGGGGTATCCCCTCTTTGAAATCTGGCTGTTCTCAGCAAAGTCAAGGTTGTCAGCCTGTGTGCCCTTCACCCTAGAAACCCAGTGAGTCAATTTGCCAACAATTTGTTCCCATCCAGAATGTCAGACATAAAACTTTGGACACTAAGAAGCTTTGTAAACAGAATATAACCATAAATATACTTGTTTCCGGCTTCCTAGTTGGAAATGTCTGACGACCCTCATTCTAAATGCCTTGACCCAGGGTACAAAGCTGACTCCGACTGTGGAACCTATGGGAATGACACAAAAGCAGGCTCCTTCAGGGGCAGTTATTATTTTTTGTAATTATATAGACATACATTAGGGCACACATAGTGTCAGTCTGAACAAGGAGAATCAAAGAAATACCCTGTTTAAGGAGACTGTTACCAATGCTGCTGAGGCCCCTGTGAGCTGTGTCTGCTTCCATCTCCTCCGAGTCTGATGCAGGAAAACGAAGCAACCAAACACCGAGGGTTTCTGGAGTATCAGGTTTATTAACATGCATGGGTCCAGAGGAGTCAGTCTCCACATTCTGAGCCCCAAACAAAGGATTCTTGGGGTTTATATAGCCTTCGGGGTAGTAAAGAAAGATACAGAAGCAGGAATGCGGAAGTTAGTCCTAGCTACAAGAGGCAAAAGTAAAGTACAAAGGCTAAATTCGAAGGTCAGTTTTTAACAGCAGGGGTGTTAATCTCAGTCCTAGCTAATGCACCATTGTTTACTTATCCCAGACAGCCCCATCATTCTCCCCAGGGCGCCTGGGGCCTGGGCAAATAAAGGTTAAACAAAGGTTCTTCAAAGCTTCCCATATCAAGTCCATGGGGGGGCCATGATCCTAAACTTCACGTTAATAATTTCCTTGCCTTTCTTTATAGTTTTACCATATGTGTAGGAATAGCATTTAATTTTACATGTCTGTATGCTTTGAGACTTCTTTTTAAAAGATTTTATTTATTTATTTTTAGAGAGAGGGGAAGGGAAAGGAAACAGAGGGAGAGAAACATCAATGTGTTGTTGACCCTCATGTGTCCCCACCTGGGGACCTGGCCCTGCAACCCAGGCATGTGCCCTGACTGGGAATTGAACTGGTGACCCTTTGGTTTGCAGGCCAGCACTCAATCCACTAAGCCACACCAGCCAGGGCTAACACTTTATATAAATGGAATTGGTTTTCTAGGAATTTCTCTTTTCGCTCAACATGCCTGTGAGATTCATCTGTGGCGCCCTGAATAGGTGAGCTTTGTTCATTTTCACAGCTTTCTCTGGCTGATGAAGATGAGTGTTCTTTCCAAGTTTTTAAAAAATGAATAATGCTTCTATGAAAATTCTTCTCTATGTGTCCTGGTGATACATAGCTGATATTTATTGCTGATATTGATTGAGTACTCACTTTGAGTCAGGCACACTTCTAAGCACCTTAATGCACTGATTCATTTAAACCCCTGTAACCCTGTGAGGTAGGTACAGTTATTAATCCCATTTCACAGATAAGGGAATGAAATCCCAAGAGTTTAAGTAATTACCTAAGGTGACAGCCTAAGGAGCAACTGAGCTTGAGTTTGATCCAAACTTCTTAGCGTTAGAAACTATACTTGTAGTCATATGTGAGAATACTGATACTTCTGTTAACCAATCACTCAATCAATTTGGAAAATTTTAAGGTTCTTTTTCTTTTGTCTTCATATACTTTTGTTAAATCAAATGCTGCTGAATTCTTTTCTTTTTTATTTTTAAATTTAATGTATTGGGGTGTCAATGGTCCAATTTTTTTAAAACTACAAATCAACAAATTTACTAAAGATCCAATAGTCCATGCCTGTTTTTCGGGAGTCAGGATTAAAACTCTCATTGTCCCCCATCCCCCCACTCCCCCCACAACCAGTCAAATATTCTGAAGTGTCTGCATTTAAAATCAACTTCAGATGGGGAAAAATTCACTTTATTAGAAGATGCAGTAATATGTAAACTATATTAACTCTACAGGACCTTTATGAGCAGTGACTAACTCATATGGCCCACAGAGGTCAGGTCTACGGACAGGCGAACGGCACATGGCATTTATCCCCGTCAGGGCCCGTCTCAGTGGCCCGAGAGTGGGAACATGAACAGGAGCCATATGCCTGTGTTCTGAGTTGGTGCGAAGCCTCCAAGTGCCACCTAGTCCAGAGAATGACAGATTGAGAAATCAAAAGAAATACGCTGGGGAAGTTAGGGAGAAAATACCTCATTCTGCTTCCAAATTTACTAAAGTACCACGGAGTTATAAGGGAACACGCGAACAGGCCGCCTTTTCTGAGGACAGAAGGAGCCTCCCTCAGGCGGCACCAAAACAACGCAACACACCGGCCCCCTCCCTGCAGCGGGCCTTGGAGGGAGACACGCTTAGGGAAGCTTCACCCGGCGCCTTTGCGCATTCAGAAATGAGAGCCAGCGGGAAACGTTGTTAAAGACTAACTAAAACTAGCAAAGGAGAAAAGAAATCTTGCAGGTGCCACAAGAAACGGAGTCTGGAGGAATGTCAGTGGTAAACAGAAATGCTTAAGCAGGAATCCCAGGGAAAGCCAAGGTGGCCTTCAAGCACCTGTCGCTGAAGATGCAGAAGACTCAGAGGACAGGGCGTGCGAACTAAGCCCGGGGAGCCCAACACCTTAGAGGGAGGTAACGACCACCGAAGCCTCACCCAGCCACTCGGCAGAGGTAGCGATGTTCAGGGTGCAACAGTCTAAAGAGGGCCCGTTACCCTTCCAGGACTCACAGCGCTCTGCTCTTAGAAACTCCAGCTTCTGGTTGGTACTTGACTAAAAAATATTGTAAAGTGTTACATTAAGAAAAATAATTAACAATCTGCCATTTCAATAGTCTTAGTTGAATAAGACTGAAACTTTATAAAGTTAATCTAAGTATAGTTAAAATAAGATTACTTGTTATACATGTTTGAATAAAAAGAGCAAGTTATACAAGAGTTCAGTATGACCCCTTTTGAGGGGAAATATATATATATAATATTGTACATATGTATGTATGTATATATATATGTGTGTATAAACACACACACATGCACTGAAGTGTCTGGAAAGTTCTACACCAGGGTTTGTCAACCAGGCCATACAGTTGACACTTGGGCAGGACAGCAGTTTGCTATGGAGGCAGCTCTGTGCATTGTGGGATTTTTAGCAGTGTTTCTGGTTTCTCCCCACTAGGTGCTAGGAGCACCCTCCAGGAGTCCTGACAATTGAAAATGTCTCAAGATACTGCCAAATGTCCCATTAGAGGCAGAGTCCCCCCCAGCTGAGGACCATTTCTTTACCCTACTATGTTTAGAATGGTTAAATCTGGTGGGAATATTATAGGTGACCCCCCTTTATTTCTAGTTACTCTAGAGTGAATATCTGTACATTCACCTTTTATGGCAACAAAATAGAAGCTACTATTAAAATAGCCACAACCACAGAACTATTTATTTAAAAATTACAGGCACATGCTTTTGACCGAGTTCTTTGGAAAAACTGTAGGTACAAGCATTATGGAAGATATAATGTGAGGAACCACAAAGAAAATAAAATAGAGGAAAACAGTTCTTCTAAGATAATGTAGCAAAAATTCACCTCAGGGCACGGGGGTGGTAAAGAAGGAACCTGCTTTCTCTGACTGATGACCCGGGGTACAGTCCATGCCGACGGAGCCCTGTTTGAGGTTCTCATTCCACTCACCACGCCGGGCAGACGTGCACTCCTGCCTGTACCAGTGGTTTTTCTCGGCACTGATTTCCTCTGCATCCAGCTCAGCTGGGGGCACCCGATCTTTTCCATTTCGTAGACCTCGGGGACAAGTGTCCTTCTTTACATACTCTCTTCCTTTGTGCAAAATGTGGGACCAGGTTTCACTCACTTTCTGGTGGGGTATTTTCATTTACCCAGTTGTTCAGAATTTATGACCTCTTGCAGAAAAAGAGCTACTAATAGATGTGTTCACAAGGAAAACTACCTAACGTGGAAGAGGTATAAAAATCCTAGAGCTAATGAAAAGCCAGTGAGCGAATAAAGCGTACTTGTCCAAGATTCTGAAACCTCCATTTCCCAGCTCTGGAGGCCTCAGGCTTGGGGATGGAACTCGATAAGGTCCCAGAAAATGATTTCTTGGAGCTGCTGAGCCCTAAAAACAGGTGACAGGCTGCCCGGTGGGCACTGCCCACACAGACACACTCAGAATCTAAGAAGGTGCTACCTTCCCCATAAAAATACCTCTTATGTGCTCACATTTCAATGTGCATGTGTGTACATATGTTGCACAATACTGAAGCAACAAAATTTTGAAAATGCTCAATAGTTCTGACTTGCTTAGACTGACAAAAGATACAAAAACAACTCAGAATTAGATTCCTTTCTATAAAACCCTTGATGGGTTTCAACCTGAAGGCATAAAGTGGGAAGCAAATTACTATTGTACTTTCAGGTAAGAAAAACAAAGTGAGGCCAACTCCGCTTTTGCATAGAAATAGTCGCATTGTCTAAATGGCTTCTCTTTCTGGTGTGAAGCACGCTCTCTGCTGTAGATAATGACAACAAACACACACATATGTAGCACTCACTATGTGCCAGGCACTGTTCTAAGTGCCTTCTGTACTCTAACGCTATCCTCAGAGCAACCCTAAGTGAGTCGTCATCCTTAGTTCATAGATGAGGACAGTGTAAGGCATAGTAGGTGCTCAATAAGTTTTTGTGAATGAAATAAGCCAAACTATCATCAATCACTTTATTTTCTTTTTGCTCTTAGTAACAACCCATTGTTTCCCACATCTGCTCTCCTTTTACAGTATTATAAACCTGTTCTTCAAAACTGGCAGAGTCACTTTTATAAACATTGAGAGGAACAGAACACTCTGTTTAATATAATTATGCTCCAAATTAAATCATTAGATCAGAAGCTGTTTGGATTTGTGGACAATCTCAAAAGACCATGACTCCAGACCATGACGTCCATCTCTACCAGCATCGTCTGCCTGTGCCAAAAATATTAATAAGGAAATATGGATATCTGTTTTCCTGAAAGAGCTTCAATGGATTATGAGTTTGTGATTAAAATAAATATGTATTAAGGTAAATCATATGAAATTGCTGTTTCTGCAGGTCAAAACTAGTCAAATAACAATTTTACATGGTTCAACCTAATAAATTCTGTCATAGTTTAATGCAGTGTAACTATAGAGTTTACTTTTCTAAGTGAATGGTGAAGGGGATTGGAATAGTTACTGGAAGTTAACTAGGATGGTGTTGTTTTATGGTACTCTTTAGTTTCCACAGTGAAGTAGGTCACATGTTTAATACACTTAACCTTCCATGTTCATTTAACCTATTTCTTTTGTACGTCTTTGTCTACTTATTCATCTTAAGATTGTGTAGATGAGGAATATCCATTCATACATATTCCAAGTAGTCTTTGAGACACTGTCCATTTTAATAGAGTAATGTAATAGTCACACATTGTTTCAACTGCTAAACATGTTCTAGTTACAGGCTATGTAAACATCTTACAAAACACATTTCCATATGCATTGAATATTAACCCCTCGCCAAGGCTACTGTCTGTGAATATCACCTCCCATTCCGTTGGCTGCCTTTTTGTTTTGTTGGCCGCTCTTTTGCTGTGCAGAAACTTTTTACTCTGATCTATCCCCATCCATTTACTTTTGCCTTACTTCGCCTGCCTTTAGAGAAAATGTTCTCCAAGGTCCAGATTCCTGAGTTTAGTACCTATCCTTTCTTCTCTGCAATTTATGGTCTCAGATCTTATATTTAGGTTTTTGATCCATTCCAAGTTAATTTTTGCATGTGGGGACAAACTGTAATCTAGTCTCATTCTTTTGCACGTGGCTTTCCAGTTTTCCCGGCACCATTCATTGCAGAGGCTTTCTTTTCTTCATTGTTGTTTTTGGCTCCTTTGTCAAAAATTATTTGCGCATATACATGTGGTTTTATTTCTAGGCCCTCAATTGTGTTCCATTCTGTGTGTCTGTTTTTCTGCCAATACCATGCTGCTTTAATCATTGTAGCTCAACACCAAACAAACAATCCAATTAAAAATGGGCAGAGGACCTGAACAGACACTTCTCCCAGGAAGATCTATAAAATTGGCCAACAGACATATGAAAAGATACTCAACTCCACTAGCTAGTAGGGGAATGCAAATGAAAGCTGTAATGAGATACCCCCTCACACCTGTTAGAATGGCTGTTATCGACAAGACAAGTAACAACTAGTGTTGGGGAGGCTGCAGAGAAGAAAGGTTCCACAGCTGTGGGAATGTAGACTGGCTGTTCCTCAAAAAATTAAGAATAGAGTTGCCATATGACCCAGCAATCCTCTTCTGGGTGCCTACCTGAAAAACTCAAAAACATTTATTCACAAAGATACATGTGCTCCTATGTTCACTGCAGCATTGTTCACAGTGGTGAAGACATGGAGACAACCAGAGTGTCCTTCAGTAGAGGACTGGACAAAGAAGACGTGGTGTATGTACGCAGTGGAATACTACTGAGCCCAAGACAACCTACTGCCATTTGTGATAACACGGATGGACCCTTGAGAATAGTATGCTACGTGAGGTAAGTCAGTCAGAAAGAGCTAAGAACTATATGATTTTACTCATATGTGGGGTAGAAAACTGAAACTCATAGACGCAGACAACAGTATGGTGGTTACCAGAGGGGAGGGGTGGGGGCTGGTAAGGCTAAAGAAGGCCAAATATACAGTGATGGAAGATGACTGGACTCTGGGTGGTAGGCACACAATGCAATGTACAGATCATGGATCACAGAAATGTATACTTGACCCCTATGTATAATCTCATTAACCAATGTCACTCCAATGAAGTTAATTAAATAAAAACCTTTCTAGAAATAAGTGTAATATTCCATTATAAAATGTGTTGTTTTCTTTCAGGCTAGTCCCCTACTAAAAAGTCCCTACTAAGTTCCTGAGAGGACATTTTCTGACTACAAAATAATAATTACAATTTATGTTTACACTTCAAAACTTCTCATAAAGTATTAATATGACTACTTAAAATAGCCAAAAAGTGTGTGATATCAAGAAGATCTGTGCTTGACTTGTTTACTTTGCACATGTATTATTGATTCGATGGTGGGTTAGGGTCCCTGAGTGTGACCAACTTTACCACCCACTCAGTGATATTTGTGTGTTTCATATATCTCATTCTTCTAACAATAAGTCAAATTCTAAAAAAGTAGCATTTATGACATGAAATATTTTTTGCAGTGTTACTTACACACTTAAGTACCCAGAAAATAACTGTGGAAGTGTGCTTATTAGAAAATCACAAAGACGCCACTGTACATCCGCCTGAACACATTCGGCATCCAATCTGGCAAAAATTTTGGAGCTCTTACTGGATACAAAGCAGTGTGTCAGCCATGGCACCCCAGGGCCCGCCATCACTGTTGAAGATCCCTAGGCACAGACCAACCGCCCATAGGAGACAGACTAAAACAAGTGCTATGGGAAGAGAGAGAAGAAATAAGCAGTTCTCCCAGACACAGAGAAATATGGGTAAAATATGGGTAAACTTCTTTTATCCCAGGTACTTTATTGCTCAGTCACTCAATTGTTCACACTTGTGCGCTTTGTAAGGGAGGGGAGTTTGGGTGTTAGTCTTCCATTTGTACATACAATCCCCATTCCTCCAAAAATCGCACCAGATAGGTTTCATCTTCTTCCAGAGGCTTGTCTGAAGGCTGTTCCTCGTAAAGTCTAGACAAAAGGCTCTTGTCTGGGAGCTCCTTGTACTCAGGATGCTCACAGACCTCTGAGTCATGTTCAAAGCTACATAATGAAGGTATAAACAGCCTTCCAGTCTGAGGGTCCCAGTCGACCAGTGTGGTCAATGGCTCTTCTTCTGGCCCCTCTTCTGGGTCCGCATGCTCCTCTGGCAGGTGGTCCAGGTCCCTGAGCTGAGGGGCGTATGAATACAGTAGTGTGTGCAGGCCCGAGTCTGCGGAGGCTGCCTGGTGCTCAGACACTTTTCCTGGTAGGAACACCTCCTCCGGCAAACTGAGCTCTTGGTCTCCAGGCCCCACAGGAATGTCAGTAGTTCTTACGTCATATCCATATTCCACAACCATTTTATCTGTGGGTATTGTTCTGCTGAGTGACTCTTGCTGGGTCAGGAGAAGCCCTCTGGAGCTTTGCTCAGCATCCCAGAAATCGTCCACCAAGTGTGAAGCATACCCTAAGTGTTTCACCTCCATTTCTTCTTGACTGGGCTCCTGGCCCTTGCTGGGCTCATTCAGGTCTGACACATCATTGCTTTTTTCCATCACACTGATACCCTTAGGAGAAATTTTAGAATCCTCCATAATATTGAAGGTGATAAAGTTAATCATGATTTTTTCAGCAGGTACAAAGAATCTTTTGTCAAGTTCATTTCCATAAATCAAAATCTATAAAGAGAGAAGAGAATGGTTTTCACCTTTTCACTTTAAGGGAGACATTAAAAACAGTTGTTAAGTAGAACTTATACTGTCATCAGAAGGTTTGAAAAATCTATTCTTACCCACTCATGGAAGTGAAAGTTATGCTTGGAACATACAGAAAACCTCATTCACATGGAGGCAAGAGACCCAAGGCACAGGAAATGCACGTGGAAGTGAAAAGTGGTTCATGAGCGGGCATTTTTCCAGGTCAAAGATGAGGGTATGACCGTCTCCTCCTCTAATTGGCTGAGGAAATTCGGGAAGTTAATTTCTCCAGCCTTGGTTTTTAATTCTGCAAAATCAGAATTTCTGCCACAGAAGGAGTGGTTAGAACTAAGTGAAATAGAGATTTTGAAATTGCTTTGTTAATTATAGTTTAATTATAGTATTTGTTAATAAGCTGTGGTTACATGGACAAAAAAATGTGAATGAGCATGAAAACCAGATGGAAAAAGGAAGATAAGAATGAGCAGGGACGGTCTTCTTACTTCCATTCATATGCCAGTCCAGTCATGCTATACAGAAGCCAAAAAGGGAAATCCATTTGCCAGTTTATGGCAGACAGAGAAACTCTAAATCAGGTCAGAAAAACTTGTTTTGGATTAAAATCTTGCTGGGGATATGTGGGAGGTGCCTGCTTCAATGGCCAATGATGAGTTATGTGACACCTGCGTTGTCTAATCTATGATGCGATTTCATTTGACCTTATGAAACAGGTCTTTCAGCTTCACTCTTTCACAAATTTTTTTGGTTTCAAAAAGTCACTTGTGGTCAATTCTGTGTCCTCCTAGGAAAGGTCCCCTTATACCATTAAAGAGCTAACTCTAAAACTTAAATGCAGGCAGATTCTTAGAAACATTTTAAAAGTGAAATAATAAAAATACCTGTATACATTGTGTATATGTGAACATACATTTTAGTAATTCCCAAAGAAGTCATTTTTATTGTTCAACTATGCTCAGCCTTTCAAATCCCTTCAGTGCATGGTCCAGAAGCGTAAGATTTATTCCTTTTCCTTTCTTGCTTCTCCTCACTGCAAATGATGACATCCTGGCCATTCGCCTTTTATGTGCGCTTTCGTTCCGTGTCTTCATCTCCAGCCCTCCACCCTACTCTCCTCCTTTAAGACGCTCATCTTCCCTCCTGGTTGCTTTATTTGTTTCTTCTAGTCTCTCCCCCTGATGCTGTCCTAGATCCACGATGCATTTGGATCCATGTAAAACACACTATTGACCATGACACTCCCAATGTAAAATCCTATAGAGATTTCTTTGCCAACAAAAAAAAGCCCAAGCTTCTTAGAACAACAGCACAATTCTCTCATCACCTGGCCTTCCCACCCACTATTGTCTCATCTTTCATGGCTCCTCATTAGGAGCCTTAGGATTTAGCAATACTATGCGATTTCCCAAACAGCTACCCCTGTTGTTTCTTCTGCCTGCAGTAGGTCCCCTGACTCTTACTCACCTTTCCTAACCAAGCCCAGGCATGAAACCTCCTGATGTCCCATGTAGCGTTTCAGTGCCCGCCTGTACTGAGGATCCCCAGTGCCTGCTTTCATCTTAGCCATACATATCATTCTGAAATTCTTGTCCCCAACAACACTTGAACCTCTGGAATGGCATGACTCACTTTCTGTCCTACCCCAAGACCTCATCTAATCTGGTCACTAAACATAAGATCTTTGTCAAAGCTAAGGAATCCTCTTCTCTTTGGCTATGCTAGTGAGTTAATCTAGTTAAGTATTTTTTAATTCATCAGCTCTTTAATCTTAAACTCCCTCTGCCCCTGAAAGGAATGGTATCTGTTCTAGAGTCTCCTTTTTCTACCCTCCTGCAGGTGTGTTGTTATAACAAGTCCCGCCATGCTCGGCACTCACCAAGTTTGCTGGGTGTTTCTCTTTGCCAACGTGGATGTATCTGTACACGGAGAAGCCCATCACAGAAAAGATAAACAGGGTAACGGATATGGGCAAAACATACCAGAAGATGACTTTAACCTGCCATGCTGATGACTGATCTGTAAAAGAGGGGGAAGGTAGATGTAAGTTTGTGTGGTGGGAAAACAGTGGCAACGCCAAGAGGCTTTGGGCAGACAGACTGCTTCCATTTAGGAATTCGGTTTTCTCATTTATAAATAATGTTATGAAGGTTCTCAGAACACTTACTGTCTCTGACAATAGCTGGTCTTAGAAAATCATCTGGCCTGCCTCAAGTCTTTACGGTGATGCTGCATTAACAACTGGGTCAGCCTATATTCCAATGTGTTATGTTTGCCTTCGAGATTCCTGTTGGTTTTTTATACATGAAGGTGAATGTACCTAAAATTCAGGCAACTCACAGCCTCCAAACCAAGTGACAACACCCTCTTGGAAAGATCCCACTAAGCAGCCCCACTTCCCATGCCACTCACTTGACTCCATCTTTTTCATATGTTCAGTACAGGGTAGGAATGCTCTGTGCCACCTTCTGTGAGACACACAGGACACCCTTGTGCTGGTTACATCCTGGGTTTATCTGGAGCTGGGAATGTGAGTTTGTGTGGGCAGGTGGCTGAGCTGCTGTGTGCGGTGGGTTCGTGATGAGTAGAAGTCCATCAGGGAATAGTAAGACCTGGTGCATAGTTTTAAGAACAGTGGTCCTGGCCCCCGCACTGATTAGAGTACACTGCTGATGAACAGGGATCATTGTGGCTTTTATCTGTCAAGCTCCTGTGGGGTCCTTGGAAGTTGGATGGTTAATTTTACATGTGTTAATTTGTTTAAACCATGGTACCCAGATATTTGGTCAGACATCCTTCTAGATATTTCCATGAAGGCATTTTTAAAGATGAGATTAGCATTTCAATAAGTAAACTTGAGTAAAGCAGGTTACTGGGTGTGGGGGACCAACTGCAGGTTCTTCTGCCCTGAATGGTTCTTGCAGAGCACATCTGTCATCAAATTCCACGTAGAAAGGTGCCGCCACCGCAACACACATGTTGCAGGTGGTTGAGTGTCACCTGCTCCTACTTCAGGCTACAGCTCAGTCTGTTCCCCTGGACACTGCCCCAGGTCTCTGGGCAGAGGTTGCCCTAATTAAGAGGAGCCAGGACAGCGAAGGCCGAAGGAACTTGGTGTACACTACCATATGTTGACTATGATAAGCCTAAGAAACTGTATCTGTATTTTAGGGGTTGGGGGACTTTGGACAGCAGAAATATTTTTTGAAGAATAGTCCCCAAAGAGATAACACTGATTTTTTTAAAAGAAGGTTGTCACAGCAGTGTCTTGGAAAGGTATCTGAGTTGATTTAACAGCTGGGATGTCATGGGAAGGTCAGGGCCAGAAGTGGGCCTCCCAGTAGTTTTACTGCCTTTCCTAAACTGCTTAGGCAGTGCTCCACTGCTTACTGGGAAGTATTTAATCTAATCGGCACTCTAGTTGCTCAGCACAGCCAACTGCTTAAATGACTGCCACTGGAATGTAGGCTTGCCATTTGGCCATTGAGCAAGCTATTAGTAAACGAAGCACTTTATCCAAAATGCAAAAATGATTTCTTCCATCTCTTTTGTTTTGGCTTTTGCTTGCTTAGCATTTTAGTTTTATTTGACATGTGGTAGAGAACTCTTTATCTGACAGGGAAAGGTATGATAAGATTAAAGATTAAAAAATAAAGCTTTTCTCTTTTTATCTGTGCTCACGAAATTCTCTTTTTATTCCCTGGGATATTTTCATCATGCAGTGAGGGAGGCGGGAGGGAAGAGGAGAGCAGGGTCCTGCCACCCACTGTTCCTGCTCATAGCTGGTGACGGAACCGAGGCTTGGGGAAAAGGCTGTGACATTTGTCTCAGGCCAGTACATTTGGAGAGAGAAACATGGCTGAAGAGCCATTCAATGAAAGTAAACTTTAGGATTTATTTTAAAATTTCACATTTTGAGTGTAAGATCCCCTCACCTTGGGGGAAGAATAATTAAACAAATGCCAAGCTCCTAACTTCCTGTCTCCTAACAGGAAGGAGACTCCTTGGAAGCCAAGGTCAGAAAACATGAGAAGGAGACAAACTGAAAGAAAGGAGAGAGAAGCAAGGCAGCGATTCCTGACTGGTGGACCCCAGACGAGCCCGTCAGTGACCCACAAACACAATTCATGGAGCCTGTCATCCGTCTGAGGAGCAACGGGTTCTGTCTCCAAGTGTTTCTAAGATAATGCTTTGCTCGTACCAATAAAGTTATCTGATGTTCTTGAAGACCACAGAACCTCTACTGACCAGGGTGATTATAATTTTAAAAAAGAAAAAAGATGTGTGTAAATATTGCTCACTGTTATCTCCCAAGGCAGAGGCTTATTGGCAGCAAGCACCTGGACTGGTGCTGAGAGTTCCCCGAGGAGGTGAACTCTCACATGGGAATGAAAACATTCCTGCACATGGGCCAAGTTCAATGGCAGTGTCCCAGGCTGCTCAGTGCATTTCTGGCGGCAGCTGTTCCTGCCTTTGCCTCAACCTGTTTCTGATAGGAATGGGTTTGCCAATGTTCTCTTCTAGTTTTGTCGAACCCCCTTCCTCAGACCAGCTGAGAGTTTTTTAAAGCTTACCTTTCAAAGTACTGACACACCGCTTCTGGGAAGGCTGAGGGAGGCGAGGAGGCCCGGGGACAAAGGACTCCGCGTGAACGCAGTACAGAGTGTCCGGCTCCAGCCAGTTGAGCACCAGCGTGTGGTTGGTCACGCACTGAGACCACTAGGTTAGGGGATTGCAAACAGCAGTTACAGGCAAAGATTTCCAGTACCACCCAGACAATAACTCTATGGGATATAAAAGACCAGGATAGCATGAAATCCTTTACTATGACTACGAGCTTTCTTTTTAGCAATGGCTTTAAAACACCCTTTTCCTTTAGCTCAGCAGAGCATGGTCAGGGACTGGAACAATCCTGGGAATGAGGTTAATAATAACACAAGGGTGAGTTTCTTATTCAACTTTGTCCTGTGTTCTTGTTAACATTTTCTTTCTTGGAGAGTGTCTGACAGATGTAATGCAAGTGGAGGCTGTCCATCCAATTAAGGTGGAAACTCCTCCATCTGCAACATCGCACCCCATTAACAAACAGCTTCTGTACAGGACAGCTGAAAAAAGTTCTTTAAGTTTCCACATAGCTTCAACTGTGACTTGGATGCCATCTCTTTGGAACGTCACACCTTCCCATTTTCACATGCAGAGAAGGAAAGCCTCAGAGCCCCCTTGCTCCAGCACTCACTGCAAACAGCGACACCGACCGTGTGCCCCCGACCCACCTCAGGCTTACCATTCTGTTGGACTTGGTATTGTAGATGGACACGTTGTACTTCAGATTAGGGTATATTTGTTGCATGGAAATGGAACTTTCTTCTGGATTTTTCTTCCACTTCTCTGGAGCAGTCAGAACAACAGAAATGGATTTTTCACCAGGAGTCAAAGCAACCTCTGGTGGGCCAATTTGTGCTGAAAAGAGAGAAGAGAGGGAGTTATGCTTGGCTGTAGAAATCACCTTGGATAAAGCTACAGTCTAATCCTGCAGGGATCAAAGCTCCAAAGCCCATGCTCTCAGGAGATGCCTCCGGGTGCTCTAAGGTGGGCCCGTGTCACACCAAATGTTGAAGCAAGCATTTCTAAGACTTGGCATTCACTTAGTTCCTGGCCACATGAGTAAATAATACTTGATGGTGGTAAATAGAGTGACACTGTAACACTGCTGTGACGTGAAAAACTGGTGATAAACCACATTATTATGTTTTGGCATATGGCAAAAACAGGACATGGAAAAGCGAAGCATTGTGACAGACCTTTGGAGATGTGACTGGAGTGATTAGAACGGAGGTTAGCGAAGTTTTACCCTAAGCCCCCAGATATGATATCTGTTGCAACTGTTCTTTATATAAATGTAAAGCCCATTCTCAGCTCTTGGTCTGCAGAGAAATACAGAGGGGGTGAAGGCGATGCACTTGGCTGAGGGCACAGTTTTCAGACTTCAGATCTAGAAGGGCACCAGGGCGAAGGCACCAGCATGAGGACCCAAAGGAGAACATGCAAATTTCATTACGGCAGCTCTGAGTCAGCTACAAATGAAGAATGGAGTCATCAAAACCAGTTACCAGGAAGACGTTGCCTTACTTCTGAGTTACGCCTAGAAATGTACTCCATCACACCACCAAGATTACAAGAAAAGGCTTAGTTTGGTTATCAGAATAATCTTCAATCAATTTCGTGGACATGGTCAAGGGTTTATACACCCACAACATTTCTTAAAAATCTATTAGTTGTAACTCAAATTACACAGTCTTCACCAAATGATAAAATAAAATTGAAATTGGATAATATTGGCATCCAGTGTCCATTTGGGGTCTGGGAGAGATATTAGAGGTCATGTGGCCAGAGCTCATTCTAAAGATGAGATTCCGGGATCCAGCAGGAGATGCTCCCCGGGCTGGTCACTCCGCCAGCTGACGGACAGAGTGCAGAACGGAGCCCAGCAGGGCGTTGGCTTCTCGGGCAGAGCTGTCTGTGAAGAAACTGTTAACACTATGACATCAGATGAACGTGATAGTGATTTATGTTTAACAGACAAGTGTGTTACTTACTTTCTAAGAGAGGATAGAATCGTCCAGTTTCTGCCCATTTAGAACAATTAGTTCCCCAAATGGCCTTTACTCTGGCATAATACTGATGCTCATAGTCATGAGTTTCAGCAGAGAGATCACAGGATGTCCTGCTGATATTTCTGCATTCGGATTTATTCAGCCATTTCTTTTGCCCATATCTGCTGAGAACAAAACTGGGAATTAATAATGCAACACCCTCTAAGCTTTTCAATAGTTAAAACGCAGTCATTATATAAAACTGAATGGAACTTAAGACCTTCTCTTAAGAACAACAGAAGTGCCTGTCACTGAGATAAAAAAAGAACATGCTTTGCTGCTGGCAATTTTTTTTCATTAGCTGTCAGGAACATGAGTCAGAGTTTCTGGAAGCACCTTTCTTTTCTGTGAGTTACCATGTGGATAGTACAGTTTGCAAGTGTATATTTTATTATTATTCTTGGGCTACAGTAAAGGCTTTATATACTGTGTGATCAATTCTTTTAGTAATTGTATCTATGGAAGTGTTTAGCCCACCATGAGCACTAAGGTGAGTCTGATGGGTAGTTTTAAGAAACATTAGTAATTCGTTTTTTTCTTAGAAGAAAAACTACCTTGATATTCTCATAAAACTTAAAAATCTAATTGCCATCAAGGGCTTTGCTCAAAGCTGCATTTTCAATAATTATAGTGATGATGATGATGATTACTAGTTAACATCATCTTTTCCTCTCCTTTATTAAAAACTGACTTTTCCTTTCCTTTATTGAAAACACAACATCCAGAGTAAATGCAGGGGAGGGAATGTTTTTAGGTGGGAGAGACTGAGGTATAGATCGCGACAGGAGATAAGCCAGGGAAAGAGACAGGGTGGCACGGTCGGCTGCTGAAAGGACTCCAGCAGAGTGTGAAGGTTTGAGAAGACAACTCTGGGGCTCCCAGGGAGAGGAGCTGGGAAGACGCTGCAGTGGTCCACGTGCGAGGTGCAGGTGGCTTAGACAAGGATGACGTCTCTTTCTGTCTAGGACACAAGGGTGTAATCGTGGTAACGTTGACCAAGGTAAGGAAGATGGAAGAAGAGAGGGTTTGGAAAATGGGGAGTGGGGAGTAGAGGGAAGGAGAGATGATGAATCCGGTTGACATGTGGGCCTCAGGTATGTAAAAGATACCCAAATGCAGATGTCCACAGACACTGGGGCTCAGGAGAGAGTTGTGAGTGGGAGGTAGGGATTTTGAAATAAATGGCAAAAAAGTACTCTTTGAAGGCGTAGGCATGAATGAAATTATCCATGGAGATAAAGTAAAGCCTAGGATGAAATTTCAGGAGCATCAAGATTTAAAGGTTGGATGCAAAGCACATTTAGAAGTAGACAACAGTGTGGGGCTTCCCAGGGGAAAGGGGAGCAGGGGGAGGACAGAGTGTGTAAAAGGAGCTTAAAAGTTATGGAAGGAGACTTGACTTTGGGTGGTGAACACAACACAACACACGGATGATGTGTTGTAGAACTGTACACGTGAAACCTATAAAAACAGAAATAGCAGTTAAAGAGAAAGAAGAGAAAACAAATATCACAGAAGCAAGGGGAGCGGACGTCTTGAGAAGGAGGCAATATAAATTTTGTCAAGTGTCGTCAAAGATTAAGGGTATCGTCCCTTTTCAGAACATGGCCACAGATTCGTGAAAGTAGATGACCTCCTGTTTCATACCTATCGAAATTCATTAGAAATGCCACAGTCAGATCTCGCTGACTAACTGCTCCGTCCAAGTGACCTCCATGGCCTAGGGGCTCTCCAACTTTACTGTGAGCCACATGAAGAAACACATTTTCCCTTGTGACCGGGCTCACAAAATCATACGTATACCTCACGTACTAAAACAAAGGCTTGGTAAGACAACACCTAACTCTGCCGCATGCCATGCATTCCCTTAGTTTCCATACCACTCCAGACCTTTCCACTAAAAATAACGTTACTTATGTCCCTCCACGGTGATTTCATGGCCCACTAACAGGCCTCGACGTGTCTTTCCAGAAATACGGCCATTGCCTACTTGACCCTCCCTCCTCACACTTCCCCACTGTGCCAAGGGCGCAGCAGCTTCCCAGAACAGATGCTGATGGAGAAGAAAATGCTGTTCGCCGGGTTCTGGACAAAATGCTTTGTAAGTCTGACAAGCTGACAGCCTGGAATTGTTTCATAAATACTCCAGCGATGACATTTGTGAAAAGTAAAACGTCATGAGGGCCCCTTGGTGGTCTCGGACTGCTTTCTGGTAGTCGCAGGGAACCTCTACCAAGTGCTGACTGGGTGCCAGGGGGCGTTTAGTATTTGCGCATTACCTCCACTATCATGGTATCCCTCCCAGGCAGGTGCCATTATGTTTATACCATCTCACAGATGAGGAAACGGAGGCTTGGTGAGATGAAGGGACCCAACCACTCAAGTTCATGTCACTAGTAAAAGACGCATCAGCAAACCACTTTTCCTTGATGACAAAGCTTGAGTTTTCAGTGCTATATTATATTTCTTTACATTAAATTCTTTTGGCAGATATAAACTTTTCTTCAAATTTCATCTCTTACTTGGAAACAAACTTTACTCAAAAGTACAATATGTCACCTGCCCAAAGCTACCCAGCTTGGTCGGTAGCCTGGCTGTGACCCCAGGACTGTCTGGCTGGAGCTGAGCCTGGAGCCCTGCCCATGAAATATACCTCCCTGCACTCCCGCCCACCCATAAATTTGTTTTTAAATACTGTGTTTCAGAAGTTGAGCAATCTAAATGATCTGCTGTCAGAGAGCAGTGATGACTCTGCCCACTTCCAAAAGCCTTTTTCTGAATCACAGACACAGGCGAAAGACAGAGCAAGCTCTTTGTTCCACCTAATGGAGAAGGGGGAAGGCCCCGCCTGGGAGCCGTGCCTTTTGCACGGTGATGTCTCCTGTCCTAAACCAGCTCCTGGGAGACTCCCGAGAAACCAGGATGAGGGTCTAGACAGATGAGGTCATTAGGAAGGGCAGCTGAAGTCTCCTCCTGCCTTTGGTGGCCAGAAGTTTTTTCAAAGTTAAAAATGACTTTATTCTTTTTTGTTAATATGATATATTTTTTTAAAATCCAAACAATCAGAAAAGTAGAATCAAGAGAGAAATAAATCACCCTGCAACCCATTATCCTGGAATATTTGGTTATACAGGATTCTGGACATCGCATTAGGTGTCCAGATGTGATGGGCACCTAATTAGATAGGTGTCTTATCTAAGGATAATTAGATAGCTGAATATGTAGCTAAAAACCAGATTATACCACACAAATGGTTGTCATAAAAATATTAAATTTAACTTGACTTAAACTGTAATATAAAAAAGTGAAGTTAACGAAATTGCTACCATTCAAATGTTTCATTGCCATAAGAGATATTAGTTCTTAAAAGAGCTTTTAAATTAAAAAATGTTTTTGGAGAAATATTGAGAGCTTAGATGTGAAAATAAAGTATTTTCACTTTAGATAGTATTTAATGGTTTCCTGCTATGAAAATCAGTACATAATAGTTTTTCCCCACTTTCTGATTTGTTCTATTATTGTCTAGAATCAAACATTTACAAGAAATTTCAATAACCACATTCCCCATTGCAGTTAAGTCTTGGGTCTTCATTTCGATTGTTACAATGCATACTACCGATCTTCACGCCATCATCCTGTCATTACTAAGCTCTTTGTTCGGGTTCATCTCTTTTTTTTAATGTCAAGTGGCTATTATCTTTAGTTAGTGGGTCCCCTCACTCCCAATAAGGTCTGAGGGGAACGATGTCTGAATTCCCCAAATGCCCGAAAATACTTCTGTTGAACTTGTACGAGTCCCAGGCCTCACCCACTACTCTCTCAGAAGCCGTACACCCTTTCTGCTGAGGACTGCCAATGGCAACCATTGCCCTCCACCTGACTTAAGTCCTGCTTTTGCTACAATGTCCAGAAATCATTGCATTCTCTCCAAGGCCAGTAACTTCACCAAGGTATGCCTTGCTGTTGTTTTTATTAAATTTGCTGGATGCAACATGCATTTATGATGTATACTTCCAGACGGTCGTTACTTTCTGCTCAACTATCACTACCAGTTGGCTATAATAAGTTTTAAAAGGCTCTTATTTAACATTTTTATATTCCACCATTTTCCTAAGTCCTGCCCACTTGCTTTTTTAAAAAGTTCCTTCTGTAGTCTTGGAGTCTATTCCTTGAGAAGAGATTGCTACTTCTTCTCTGTAAGCTGTATCATCAGAAACATGCTCATGAAACACGTTTTCAACAGCGAGAGGCTGATGCCGCTGATGGCACTTCCCTGGGCTGCCCGCCTCCCACCTGCCCTGTCCATCTCACTAGGTCTCTCCCTGGGCTGCTACTAAGCTTCTACAATGGATATGTCACTCGACCTTGATTTCTGTTGTAGCTTCTTCTCCTCTGACACTTTGTAGCACCAATCTGGAGCTCTGTGGGGGACATTTCCTCAATTTCTGGTGGTGGAAATCCTTAGATTCCACATTCTTGGATTGTTAGGTAAGCTTCTTAGTACTGTGACATTTATACTTGTGAAATTATTTTCTGCTGTTTGAGTCTGAGAAGGTATAGGTTTACTTCAAGCTTCTGTGGTTGCTTTATTACAGATTTCACAGTATTTGGCTTGTGCACCTCCTAGTTGTGGCTTAGGGGTTGTGGCCATTTCCTGGGTCGCTCTGAAGATGGGCTTTGTCTATCTGATTTGCGTTCTTTTTCACTTGCACTGAGTTTTGAGGGAGAGGTAAAAAAAGGCTGTCCATTCGTTGCTTTCTCTAATAAGAATGCTAGTTGCACATAATTCTGTGCTCAGTTTCACTTAAAAATGTCTATAATTCTCATAAGTTTAGATGTTTCAGAGACAGTGGATTTCCTTGTTTGCTCAGCCACTTAATAATCTTTCAGCTAAATTCTTTCCCTATTTAAATAACTTCCCTTTGCCTCAGCCCCCAATGCTCCTGTCTCCACCAAGAAACTCTTTTCTAAAAACAACAACAACAGAACTCTTTTCTAATTTAACCTAACAAAACATAACAAGAACCCTGGCTGGTATAGCTCAGTGGACTGAGCATGGACCTGGAAACCAAAGGGTCACCAGTTTGATTCCCAGTCAGGGCCCATGCCTGGGTTGTGGGCATGGTCCCCAGTGGGGGTGTGTGTGTGAGAGGCAACCACACATTGATGCTTCTCTTCCTGTCTGTCTCCTTTTCTTTCCCTCCCTCTAAAAATAAATAAATAAAATGTTTAAAAAATTTTAACATGAAACACCTAAAATTTTCTTCTTTTCAAATATAATACTTAATACAAAAGATGGTTTATCTTTGAGCAATTATTTGAAGCCTGAGTCTTGTGTTTATGAATTCGCCCGGAGGAAACGGACCTACTTACATGAAATACTGCACAGTGTACGTAACTCCCACTTCTGGCAGGCCTTCGGGGAGACTCCACTGCAGGACATTCTCCATGTTTATGGATAAGAAGGTGAGGTTTGCAGGCTTAGGCAAACCGCCTGGGACACAAGGAACTGAAAAAGGAGTAGAGAGAAATCAAGGTCTTGGTGGAGGACGAGGAAAACGTAACCCCTGGTCTCCACTAGTCTCCAGATAAGGCCTTCCAGTACTGGCACACTGTGCATTTCCTCCCAAGCTGACCCTGAGTGGACACTGTGACTCACTTCCACCAATGGAATGTGACAGAGCTGACTGAGGGGCTAAGGCCTGGCAGCTTCCACTTTTGCCTTTTGGAGCCCCGAGCTGCCACGTAAACACTGTGCTCCCTGCTAGAAACACTGTGTGGAGAGGCTGTGCAACGAGGGACAGCTTCAGTTGTCCTGGCTGGGCCCGGCCTTTCCCCCAGGGGCCAGCAGGGGCACTGCGGGCATCCCAGCCACCTGCCACAGAGGGAGGGTGCACGAGGGACTCCTGCCACAGAGGGAGGGTGCATGAGGGGCTCCTGCCACAGAGGGAGGGTGCATGAGGGACTCCTGCCACAGAGGGAGGGTGCATGAGGGACTCCTGCCACAGAGGGAGGGTGCATGAGGGACTCCTGCCACAGAGGGAGGGTGCATGAGGGACTCCTGCCACAGAGGGAGGGTGCATGAGGGACTCCTGCCACAGAGGGAGGGTGCATGAAGGACTCTGGGGAGAAAGCAGACCATCCTGCTGCGCCCCCGTTAACTCTCAGAAGTGTGAGAGATAATCAAGTGGTTGTTTTAAAACCACTATTTTGGGGTAGTTTGTTGCACATATGCAGATAACTTAATGATTCCCTCATCAGATACAGAAATGGAATTGAGAACAAATGCCTCGGAAGGGTAGAGGTTTGGAGATTGGAGCTGGGGTTAGCTTTGCTGAAAAGTATGTATGAAGCAATACTTAGAAAAGAAACCAGCAAGAGAAGACAATTATTTAATCGAATGTTGATAACTTCATACCGTGATCTAAGAAAAACTGTGTCTAGAGGATGAATTTGTAAAAATACTCTGTACAGAAATGATAAAAAATTGAGAAACTGCCAGAAAATTAGAAAAGGACAAAAGAAAGTAAGAGATAGTTTCTTATGAGAGAAAACAAGGATGATCCTTGAACTAAGTAAGTAAAGTAATCCAGTGGTAACATGTAAGAATCAAAGCATTAAACTACGGGGGAGATCACAGAGCACTGGGCAGTAACTGAGTTTTATGAAAAACTTATCCCCTCACACATCTGTATGTTCTAGTCAATGAACTTGGAAAATCAGATTCAGGAAATAAACCACAGCTAAGTCACGGGAGGCCGGTCCAACTTGGCGCAAGTCCCATTATTCCTGTGCACTTTAGCTGACACTCACCTAAGGAAGGAATCACCTTTATGCTCCTGGTAACCCTTGGCTAAGAGTAGCTCTATGCAACATATTCTAATTTCACAAGCCAAACGAAAAGGCAGAACAATTTTTTTACCTTAGAATTAAACTTTTTATATGACCCTGAGGTTAAGGCTAAACAATCTCTTCCACATGTGGCAGAGTGAGTGAAATGCAGGCAGTCTGGCGCGTGCATGCGTGTGTGTATGTGTGCGCGCACAGATGCCTGTGCTTGTAAGGACCTCTGCTCTCAATCTTGGCCATTTTTTGACATCTCAGTTTTATGTTTAAGAAGAAAGTTAAATACTGATCACTGTGTGGGACTTTAGCACGAAGGACTAAAGAGGGTCTCAGAAGGACGCAGCCGGCCCTGTCCTTGATTTCTATGCTATGCTTCCCTCCCTGGCACCGCACTGGATCCACTGGCATCAGCGTTTTCCTGGAGACTATTTACAGCGTGAATTATTTACAGTGATCATTGATTTTATACTGCTCTATGCTGTCACAAGACTTGAAATTTTAATCATATTTTTGAATATGAAACAGAGAACATGGGGAGGCAGAACCATGGAGGATAGTATTTCTCAAGCATTCAAAAGTTTCAATATAAAAAAATTCCAAAGATCTTTCCAGATCTAAAATGCTACATACGGTTCTGCATGTGCAGATGAACTAACATGTGAAGAGTGGTTAGCACCTTGTAAGAACTATAATTAAAACAGACTGTGCATTATAACATCACGGGTGTAAGATGTTACCAACATGTAATTTCATGGAACTATCAGATAAGGAACTAGAATATTCTGATTTCTGGCTCCTTGGGTTTGGAGATTTAAAACACAAGTTATCTTAGATATTACAGTCCAGGTGTATTTTCTCAGCGCTTAATTTATACAAGTCTTTATCTTATGCAACACTGGTTTCTGCTCATCTTTTAATATAAGTAAAAATCGATGGAACAAAATGCCTAAAACATACCCAAAAAAGGTTTAAGGAGTAACTTAAAGTAAAAAAACCCAGATTGCTCATTGAATTTAATTTATTTTTCTTGGTCACTGCCATGAGGAAACAAAGTCATTTTGCTTTTCTGAAGCGAACTGCATTTTGCAATGTGCTGGCAATCATTAATGCTCATTGATTCAACATTTTGTTTAGTGTTTAGTGTACTTGTTTAAATAATCCTCTAGAAATGCTATGCTGATTATCAAAATGTTACCAAAGCGTGGTAATAACAGGTTAAGTAGAGGGAATTAATAACATGACAGTAATGTGTGTACCTCTCCACATTCTGGGTAAACTGTATGTGTCCCCACAATTTTGATAGCCAGCCTCCCAGATGGCCTTGCAGTAGTCCCTTCCGCCCGACATTCCCAGCCTGTCTAGTCCCCTCCCACATGGTGTCTGGGTTGGTCTGTGTGACCAAGGGCATATGACTGAAGTGATGGTACACCATTTCCCAGATTGGGTTATGAAAGACTCGTTGGCTTCTACCTTGCTTTCTCCTCTCGTGGTTGGACGCCTCCTTCCAAGAGGCCTGTCAGTGAGCTTAGAAGTGGGTCCTGTGGACGACTGCAGCCCCAGCCTCTCACCCTGCAGCAATACAACCCGACTAACTCTCAGGAGCGGCCCTGAGCCAGAAGCACCTGCCTAAGCCATCACTGGACCCCTGACCCTCAGAGACTCTGGGAGGTAGTGTTGGTGGTACGAAGCTGCTAAGCTTTGAGGTCATTTGTTACACAGCAACAGGCAGCTAATACAGTAAAGATCTAAAGATGAGAGAAACTCAGATTAATCACCAAAAAAGAGGCAAATTAAACAGGAGAAAAAAAATGGGGCCCCTCGATTCCCAATAATGTTATAAATGACCCCTGCTTTAATAATCTTGAAAAAGTGTTCTTTGTAATAGGTTAATTTGATTTTTATAAAGAAAACTACAGGCCCAATGAGAAGACTAAAAACTTAGTTAGACTTTTAGCCCTGGCTGGTGTAGCTCAGTGGATTGAGCGCGGGCCTGGGAACCAAGCAACCACGGTTCAATTCCCAGTCAGGGCACATGCCTGGGTTGCAGGCCAGTTCTCTCCCTCTCTCCTTCCTTTCCCCTCTAAAGATAAATAAATAAAATCTTAAAAAAAAAAAAACTTAGACTTTTAGTAGCAAATGGAAATCACAGCAACAGCTTTCTGGATTTTTTTTTAGATAAATGCTTAGTTTGGGTCATTGTAAACACATGACGAGGAGTCCTAGTAGTAAATAGCTTCAATAGAAATGCATTTAAAGTAGGTGTTGCTGTTTTATACACTGTTTCTGAGGGAGAGAACATCCCGGCTTTTTAGTCCTGCCCATTAGTCATTTGGACTGACACCGTCTTTTCGATTGCGTAAGTACAAGAGCTATCAGTTTTGAGTCATCCCCTTGTCAATAAATCAAAGTGTCATCTGGAGGCAGCCCTACCACGAAAAAGGAGGAGAGTGGCTAAGAGGAAACTGAAAAAGCACAAAGGGGTTAGACCCCCTTTTTTGTAGGCCCTGAAAAGGAACCTGGATTATATCTGAAATCCAGTGGGCAAGTAGTGAAGCCTGGTTATGAGGAGATGCCATGAGCCTATTTATATTTCAAATAGATTACTTCGCCCTTTGCTGGGAGACGACTGGATAAGGGCAAGAACAGAACTGGAGAGACCAGTAACCCATAATTACAGCTGCCCCAGTGAGGCGGGCTGAGCTTGTGCCCAGATATGAAGATGGGCGGGCAGCTGGGAGCTCTGTTTTCAAAGCAGAAACAACAGGACAGACACCCTGATGAAGCCGAGCTGCAAGGGTCTCGTGAGTGAGAGGCATTCTGTTGTGAGAACTAAATGAACAAATGAGGATTTATCAAGAAATACTTGCCCTTTTATCTGTTGTGATGGTGCAAAGGAGTGATAAAAATAGAATTAGTACTTTTTTTTTAAGGAGAGAAATAGCCCATTTAAGAAACAAAGAATTGGTAACTAGCAGGTCTTAAAGTTTTGAAATCTTTGCAGTTTTTAGGCAAGGCATTGTCCCAAGTTGGGAAAAGAGAGAGAAAGAATGGATAAATGTTCCAATGGACTGAAGGCATTTTTCTAACCTGCCTGCACTGGTAATTTCACACCAAAGGGAATATACATGACACCCACACTGACGTCAGGAGTTAAGTGCCAGTCATGGGCAGTGAAAGCAATTTTTTCCCCACACAGACTCAGCCAAAAAGTACAGCTCTGAATCTCTCACGGCCCACTGACCTCACAGCCCCAATCAAGAAGCTGTTGGACCGATGCACATGGTTATTTCTGAGAGCGCTGCACCATTACGACTGTGGTTTGAAACACGAAATTCTTCATGGTCTGGTCCAACCTCTCCTTTGCAATTCTGCCAAACGTACCATGTTCAGCAGCCACACGAAATTCCCTGCAACACTCTAACTTGCTCTGCTCCTCTGTGCCTTTCAGTTGCGGTGCCCTCCCCCCATGGTATCTTTCCGAACTAAAGAGCCCTTGTTCCTCTATCTGTGCGCCAAAGGAAGTGGGCGCTGTCAATCGTGAAAAAGCGTACCTTGTCATAGCTCAATTTTATCTTTGTAAAGAAAATTACAAACCCAGTGAGAAGGCTGACAACAGTTTCTGGGTAACAGTCTAGTCTTTGAAGAGAAAAACTGAACTCATAA